TTTTTTTGCAATTTCATTCAAAGTTCAGTTTGATGGATACACTTATTTTCCACCTAATGAGACTAGAAGCATCTTGTCTTCTTAATTTGTTTAGTAGTTTCCTGTGCAACTCTTACGCTTTTAAATACTTGCTATGCTGTTTTGTTCTTAGGAAAGGCATTAAATTATTTCTGTATGCTATAGTAGGTCCCTTTACTTTTTGCAGGATAGCTTCTTTGTACAAACTTGGTTCTTACCCAAAAGTTTCACCTTTTTACCTCATATTTCTTAGAGATTTAATGAGATATGTTGTTTGTTTTCTTATGCTTTTTAGCTCAGGCAACATGAGTCAATGTGGATTTTTTTTTTCTTTTTTAGATCTTATAGGAACAAAAAAAAAGAAAAAAGAAAAAAGAATTATTTGAAGAAAGAAAAGGATTAAATAATTTTTTCCCTTATACTTTCTTAAAGGTTAGGGACTTTATGAAAAAGTAGTAAACAGTTGTCTGTAACTTGTACTCAGCAGCAGCCAGCCTTAAAGTAGTTCATTTTGGCTAAGTGTCAGAACAATGAATGCTAGTATACTTATTTGGGCTGCTGTTAGCTTATCTTAATCAAAATTACTAAATGATAGTACTAAGAACTTGCTATATGTTATTTGGTGTACCGATAGTCATTTTAAAAGTAAAGACTGTCATGCAAAAATAAATAAATAAATAAATACTTGCTATGTGAATAATACTTCATGAGAGTTGTGGGGATCACAAAAATGAGTCAACAACAGCTATGAAGTTAAGTTACTAAGTATTATTGAGAAATCATCTGGAGGCCCTAAATTAGACCTTCTGGGATAGACTACAGCTTATAATTAGAACTGCAGAGGATTTCCATGACCTTCTTTTTGTAAGGGAAGAAACTGAAGCCAGAGAAACAAGTGATTTTTCCCAAGGTCATGGGTCATCGAGTCCCTGGTAGGTAGGATTACATTCTAGACCCCTCAACTTCCTGGTAGGCAGAACCCACTGCTGGTCCATTAAAAAAGAAAATGGCCAGTATGGTGTTGAAGTTCAGCCTTTCAGCAAGCTTGACCCTGAGGACTCAGCATAACCGGTGCATTCTGGAGTAGCCCTGTGACAATGCTGGCCTCAAAGGACTCCATCAAACCCAGAAAATACAGCCCTCTTACACCATAACACTCTTGTGCTTTTAAACCTTCATACCTCCTTCCAAAATTGTAAAACTACCATTATCATCATAACAAAATAATACAAATGTACACATTTGTATTCTTCATTCCCTCTTATTTTCCTCACCTTTTCTACAACCTCCCCCTCCCCATCCTCAAGTAACCCATGTTACTAGCTACCTGTTTATGGCTTCTACACTTTTTTCTATGTTTATATACAGACACATGCACATATGTGTGCATGAACACAGTGAAAAGATAACATTGTTTCTTTTTTATTCCAAATAGAAATACTGAATTTTATTCCAAATAGAAATACTGAATTTTGAGGTTTGGTCTTTGAAACAGTTATTAACAACAAAGTCAATTTAAAGACGTAACTTTTAAGTGAAAAAGAAGGTCTATGTACATCATTCCTGTTATTATATATATGTATAAAACAGTATAACTTAGTCAAGGTATAGCCAACAGATAAAATCCTAAGATTTAAAATTAAAATATTTCTGTTTGTTTTTATGAACTCTCCATTCTTCATCCACATTTGGATCCATGGAACATATTCTTGCCATAGGATAAAGTAGGTACTGAATATATCTTTGCATGTTATCAACATCAACTAATTATAGATAATAAAATAGCATTTAACTTATAGAATGTTATTTTCTGCTATAATTACTAGTAATATCAAGAAGCTTTCAAAATAGATTACTTGAACCAAAAGGATTCCACCTCAAGAGAAAGAATCCTATTAAAATTGATAAGGCTATATAATTAATAGTCCCATGGATGTCTAGAACTGATTAGACATGGGGAAAAAAATTCTAGCACCTTGACAGCAATTCTCCCACTGTCACCACACCACCTACATTTTGCTCTCTACAAGCATTTTACTTGGCAAATCTGCCCCCCATCCTGCAACACTCAACTCTGCTGTCAGATTCTGTGCAACGCTTTCCTTCTCTGACCGCCCACCACTAAATTAATCACTTCCACCTTTGTGCTTTCATGACATTCTATTGGCAATGATATTACCCTAATTTATCCCAGTTAATTCCACTGTGAAAGTCAGGTTCAAGTTTCTCTTGTCTGCTGAAAAGTTAGCAAATGTGGAGTGGTTCCATGTGTTTCCTGTTCCTTTGCCCAAATGCAAATGCACACATGCACAAATATGCCCATGTGTGTGCACACACATACAAATGCATACACAGAGCAAGAATTTGACCCTGCCAGTCAATTCCACTATTTCCTAGCCCCGATTCCTTCCATTCTGCTTTTGCTGTAATCTATCTGTATCTTACTTCTCCTAAGTCATTTGTTTTAACTTGAATGAAATGCTTTATGTATTTTAACTTTAATATAGAACATATTTAAGGTTTTATCTTATTTACTTTTTTTTAACTTTATTTTGGTACAGGGGCTTGAACACTTGACCTTCACCTTGAGCCATTCTACCAGCCCTATTTTTGTGAAGGGTTTTTCAAGATAGGGTCTCACGAACTATTTGCCTGGGCTGGCTTTGAACCATGATTCTCCTGATCTCTGCCTCCTGAGTAGCTAGGATTACAGGTGTGAGCCATGGGTACCCAGCATATTTAAGGTTTTAAATTGGCCTTTTTATTATTATTATTATTATTTTATTATTCACATGTGCATACAAGGCTTGGTTAAATTGGCCTTAAGCATAGTTTATTATATGCCATTCTCATCACATACCATCAAATAATTTTTTCATTTATTCTTTGACCAAAGAGTTAAAAGGATGTTTTTGTTTTTTGAGATCAAATGCTTGGACTTTTTGGATTACATATTTATTACTTCTGATTTTACTACATTTGGTTAGAGAATGGGGTCTGTACTACATCTACATCTGGAACTCCATGTTTTGTCTGTGGGTATTTTGGAAGTCATATAGAAATATGTAAAACACTAAAAACATTTGTAACTTTTGGCCTAGTAAGTCCACAGCAAAAGTGTATGCAATTAATGTAAATGAAACAACTCAGAAATATAGATGCATGTGTATATATATATATATATATCTGTGTTTACTATACTAAATTGGCTTTTGTGAAATAGGCACGTATTTTCAGGAGGGGTCCTATCTTGGTATTTATTTCTTAGAACATCTTAATGGGCATACTATGTGGATGTTTTCTTCCATCCATCATGGGGTAGAATGTTCTGCAGCTGAAAATAGCACCTGAGGTCTAGCCAATTATTCAGCATGTTAAGTTTGGCAGTGGCATGATGTGGGATTTGCAGAAGCAAGTGATTTCATCTGTGAGCCATGCTTTTCCATAAGACCAACTTCTTGCCAAGAGGCCCCCCGTAAGCCAACAGCTCATGCTTTTGGTCTTCTGCATTAGGTCATAGCTTAGACCAAGCCCAAGTACAATGGGCAGCACAAGTAATCTCAGTGTATCTGAAACCTCTACCAGCCATTGAATTTAAAACAAGTAGCCCAGCTGAGAGAGAAATAGAGATAGGCATAAATTAGGATTAAATACCCTTATACAATTATCTACCTAAATTAGCATAGTTGCTTTATAAATAAAAATGACTATTCTGTCTTCAACTTGAATTTAAACTTCCTACTTGTTGAATGTCACACTATGCCCTGAGATTGCATTAATGGTATAATTAATTGAGAAAAAGGAATTTGGGAGGACAGTGGAGATCATTTCTACTTTTCGAAGTAATTAAGAGAAACTCTCCAGGATATGGAAATAGTTGGAAAACTTAGTGCCTGTTCATGCATAAGCTTGGGAAATTAACATTTATTGGGTATCTGGCCAGACACTTTACACAAAGGGTTATTATCATTAATCTACAGTAGGAGATTTTAGAGATGAGGATCAGGCTCACAGAATTTAGATATCATTAACTAATCCAACATCATACTTCTAGTAAAATAAATGATAGGTGTGTGAAATCCAGGTCTGTCTGGATTCCCTAAGCCCCTTTATGCATATCCTGGCCCACCATTCACAAAATTTAGTTCTTCCATTTCCACTTTACTACCATCTTAGCAACGCTGAAGAACAGCCATCTTCGTGTCTCAGTTCAGCCCTTCACACTACAGGTACTTAACCTCCGGGATCTAAACCTTAGCCAATAAATAAAAATCTATTTACTACACATTTTGCATTGCCCTAATAGGCTGAAAAAATAACCATGGTAACCAAATTAAGTAACAGCAGCTGACACTCAAGACTGAGTCTATGTACACGTTTTGCTTAGTGTGTGTGTGTATGTAAAATTATGCCCGGACGATCAGATCATTTCCCAGCTGGGGAGAAGAGCCTTACCCCAGGGCCTCTGGTTGCTTCCCCCGGTAGATGGACGAAGATGAAAGCAGCCCTGCAGTATGTGAGGGACACGTGGGGACAAGGAGGCTGACTAGGGAGTGGGGGAGGGATGGGGGGGGTTCCTGGATTGGAAAACGATGAGAAGCGATGGGTTTGGGGGCTAAGGTCTCCCAAGAGTTTAAGTGTGAGACTTGGGGAGAGGCTTTGAGGATACCGGGTGTGAAATTGGCCTAGGAAGGTCTGGAGTACCGAGACGAAGACTCGAGAACAAGGACGGACAAGGGTTTGGGCGATTTAGGGGCGAGAATGCAAGAACAGATCTGGACAGGCGGGAGCATGGCAAGACCGCAGCGCGCACCTGGTGGCCGACACTTGCACGCGGCCCCACAGCCCGCGAGTGGGCGGGGCCTCGCGTGGGCGGGGCCTCCGGTGGGCGGGGCCGGAAGGCGGTTACATAACAAACCTGTGCAAGCGGCTGGGGAGCGGTTCGGGCGGCGGGGGCGGGGCTGGGGCGTGGCCAGGCTGCACCGGGCCAGGCAAGATGGCGGCCATGGAGGCCGAGGCGGCGCTGATGACCCTAGAGTCGCTGCCCACCGATCCCCTGCTCCTCATCTTATCCTTCTTGGACTATCGGGACCTAATCAAGTAATGGGGCGGTGCGCATGGCAGGGGTGGGAGCACGGGAGAGGAGGTGGTCAGGCAGGAGAGAAGGAATCCGGGGCCTCCGACTGGACCCTGGCTCCCCGCGGCACCCGAAGGTGACGCCAGGGCCGTCCTTATCCTGCAGAGCCATCCCCGGGCAAGGGGACACCGGGACTGGGTGGACTCCACCCAGAGCTCCTCTTTCTGTTAAGGGTCCAGGCCCTAAGGGACGAGTGTCATCTCTCCCAGGCCTCGGCGAAGCCCAGATGCTAGGGAGGGAGGTAGTGGCCCCCGTGGTGCCCCGCGGACCCCCGCCGCGCCCCGCAGGCTCGGCCCAGCCCTGGACGCTGTGAATAGCCCCTATCCCTGTTGACGCTCCGGCGCTGCGGAGTCCAGCACCGGCGTGGGCAGGTAGACACACGCGAAAAGGAGGCAGGCGACCCTTGATCCCAGCCCCGCCCCCCTGACATCTGACATGTGACACCTGACATGATCGCTGACGGAGTCCGCGGTCTTGCTTCTGTGTTTGGGAATTGTTTTACTACCAGTCTTCCTCCTTTATGACTGGATGTTGGATTTTGTGTTTTGGTACTGACTTCCGGTGATGCGATACAGGTGACTGCCTTAAACCTTGGTTTTCCCACATTAGGAACATCTGTTCCGAAAAGAAACACCGGTTGCCGGTAGAGGCAGTTAAATGCCCAATTCTTTCAGAGATTGGGACTGTCTGGGATAGTGGAAGAAATGGCACTGCTTGCTTCCCTTCCAACCACCAGAGACCCCCCCAGTGGCAGGATTGTTTACATCCTTGACAGCATGGCCCTGTGTTTCTTGTGCCACCATGTATGTTTGCAGAGGGGGCAAAATCACCCTCTAGGGACAGGCTGGCGAGATTCGTTTTGGTTTTTTTGGATTGGCTACTGGATTCTAGCCATTTGATGATTGTGTCCTGTGTTATTAGGACACATCTGTATTTAGAAATACAGATTTCTTGGAGTTACAGATAAGCTGTTGATTGGCCTATGTGATGACAACAGAGGAATACTTAAAGTTTCTTGCTTCTACCTAACACTTAAGTTTTCTAGAAAATAGTTCTACCTACTCAGGCTGTACTAAAGCAGAGAAGTATTTCTCTGTTTCAGCTTAAGCTGTTTTCATCTGAAATATTCTGTTTCTATGATCTCTTACTTATCTAGATCCTCCCCTCACCCCCAAACACACACTTTGATTGCTGCCAGAGTGATCTTCCCAAGACAGATCTGGCTGTCATTCTCCTTAAAAACCTATGATACCCCTTGTTTACAGACTGTAACCTAAACTGCAGCAGTTAAGGCCCTTATCATCTGGCTTATTATCTAAGGCTTTTCAGGCCTCATTTCTCCTCCACTATCTTATTTGCACAGTCCACTCTAGCCAAATCCGCCTCTGCCAACATACCATGCACTTGCATTTTTTTGTTGTGCGGCTTAAGCGCTTGACCTTTCCTGGAATACCTTGCTCCCTCTTCTTAACGTGGCAAGGTAGAATTCCTTTAAGACCCCACTGTCTACCTTCTTCCTTTCTCTGCAGAATGTATGGGTGAAGCTGGATAGGTTGTATACTTCTAGAACGTAAGGACTGTCTTGTTTATTTTTGTATTCATCATTTATTCAACAGATTTTTTTCCTTAAGTCCCTTTTATGTACCAGCCTGATAAATGTTAGGAATATAATACTAAGACAGATGAAGTTCCTCTCATGGAGCTTACAGACTAGTGGGAAAGAACTAGTGGGAAAGATAGAAAGACAAGTGCATAATTACAAAAGGTGCTAAGTGCTATGAAGGAAATAGATTGCTCTGCTAAGGAATGGCCTAGACCCCCAATTCATAGTGATGGGGCTACCATAGATGAAGAGCCACGTAGTGTAGCCTGGGCAGAGGGAGGAATGTGTTCAGAGGCTGCTGAAGAGCTAAAAGGTGGTGTTGCTGGATGTAGAAAGTGACTCAGAAGCTAAGTGGCTTGAGGTGAGGCAGGTGAGATCATGTAGGACCTTGTAAGCCAAGGTGAGAACAGATTTTATTTTAAATGCTTTAGGCAGTGATCAGGAATGTTAAACTGAAGTGACATGACTCCTCCACAAATTTCTGTGGAAATCGAGTTGAATACCACTGAATTTTATCTATAGTCATGTCCAGTATACTGCAGCTTCTTTCCTGTACCACAGAGTCCAGCTTTGCCAAGTGTCTAGCTCATTGCCAAGCCCTGATGGGTGCTGGTACATATTTACTCAACTGTGTTGGGTTGGATTAGATTAATCCATTGGGCTCTTGGTGTAGTATCAGTTGCATAGCTTGAAACTGAGATTGCATGGTGTCCTTTCCATTCCAGGGTGATTCCAGAGTCTTCTCCACTTTCACTGTGTATCAGCATAGCCTGTGGCACTTCTTAAACATACCAGTGCCCGAGGTTCAGCTGTCACTGAAGCCAACAAAAATCAGCCTCCAGAATAGTAGTTTTCAACCTTGATGTGCATCAAAATCATGTTTGGTGCTCACTCCAGATTCTTTCACCTTGTTTAACTGCTGGGACAGTGGAGTCAGTAGAATCAAGAAAAGGAGAAATGGAGCCTGAATTAGTAAAACTGGAGGGGTTCCTTTGTTTACAAAAGTTAGTTTGAGTATCTCCAGAGTTTAGCAGAAAAGGATGAGGATGGTGTTTCTGTGAAATCTGAATACCAAAGCCTAATTTGTTTATCATAGATCGGTATTTAACATATTCTACTCATAACTTTGACAAACCCCTTGTGATTTCAGAGTCTATTAATTGATTAGCTATTGCTCAAGTGAAATCTTTGAGTACCTACTTTTTGTGAGTCGTTATTTCTCTTTTGAAAGGTTAGAAATCCATTTTCCTCATCTTAGGTTCATTCTTTTTTGAACATTAATTATGTAGGGTAGCATTTATAGGATTTAGTGCTATTGTGTTTGAAATCTCAATATAGTAAGAAAATCATTTGCATTTAACATTTCATGTTTTGGGGCAATTGATATTTTGTATAGCCACGAATATTGAATCAGAACTATTATGAGGCAGACACCCTGTTTAAGTGGACTCTCCAATAATTGGTTTATATGCTGCAGCATTTTTTTCATTTATGAAAAAGTGAAAACAAAACAAAGGGCCTGTGCATTTAGTAACATGTCCTACAGATCTCAAGAAAAACCCTAAAACCATTGTTTGCACCTGAGTAATATTTTTTCCTTTATGTAGAGATGTTTACTATTCTGATAAAAGTAGGGAAGCTCTTTGAGGTTAGTGTATGTATGTACATAACGTTTGTACATTCTAATGCTTATGATAATTAACATTATAGAGGTTCCAGGATTTTTTGTGTACTGAAATAGTTAAGATTTGACTACTTATAAGTTAGTTATACTAGCTGATGCATTAAACAGATTTTAGAAACTATTGCCTTGTAGTGGCAGTGAATGGAAAATAAGCAAAGTAAAGGAAATTGAATGATTTAACAATAACTATCATAATCTTTATTTTTAACTTGTTTTTTATTTTCTTTCATGCTAACTATGAATCTGGTTATTGCCAGTTGTTGCTATGTCAGTCGAAGACTTAGCCAGCTATCAAGTCATGATCCACTATGGAGAAGACATTGCAAAAAATACTGGCTGATATCTGAGTAAGTACTTGGGGACTACGTTTTCTTTTGTGGGGGGAGTTGGCTTTTTTAGAGTAAAATTTTAACTTTGTTTTTAATTGGTACATAATAATTTGTACACGTTGATGAGGTACAGTATGATACTGCAATACATACGTATAATGAATAGTGATCAGATCAAGCTAAGTAACAGTTCTCTCTCCTTAAATATTTCTTTATACTGGGAACCTTCTAATGCCTATCTTTTAGTTCTTTATAAAATATATATTATAAAGCATACAATAAATTGTTGTAAACTATAGCTGTCTGTGTGGTAGAACACTAGATCTTTTCCTTCTTATTTAACTATATTTTGGTGTCTGTCATTCAATCTCCATCTGACTCTCCCTCCCTCACTGCTTTCTAGCCTCTAATGAGGAATATGTATGCTTGAAATTTAACCTTTGGCTACTAGAACACTAGTCTGTCCTGATTCTCTTCTCTAACCCTTGTCTCTTTATTTGCTTTGGTGGTTCTTCTTGTGTCTGCCAATAAATGTTGGTGTTCTCTACCCTTTTGTCTTTAGCCCACTGCCCTTCTCCCTGTATGAACTCTGCATACCTTATTGCAGTTCATAGCAACCATCTGAGTGCTCCTAGTGCCCAGACCCAAGCCCCTTCCTGCCACATCTCCAGGCTTGGTGGCAAATTGTCTGCTGGACCTTTCCCTTGGCTATCTGGGTAACTGAATTCAGTAAATGGTAACAAATTTGTCAGACTAAAAGTGTAGATGATAGTGGGAGTTGGGAAAGGTAGAAGGAAAGGCAAGAATACTAATGTCTTAGATTGAGAGGAATCAGGTTATGACTGAAGATGTTCATGTGAGAAATGGAAGTTTACATATATTCTTAAAGCTGCAAGGTTTAGTTCTACAAAAGTAAAAGTTAACAACAGAGCTATCAAACAATGGGTGAAGAGGGAATGGAGAAGGGAGAATTTTAAGTATTGCTATGTTCTTGTCTTTTACTTGGGGTCTCAGCAGATACATATAAAATTGATAAAGTTTGAGAGGTATAAACATTTAGAATTATAGAGATAACTTCCATAAATATCTTAAATATAATTTGAAAGTTTGGGGTTAGAACTGGAGACTAGTTTTTTTTAACTACAAGGTCATTGGTACCTTTTTCATTTTAATTTTTGTGGTGCTGGGGAGTTATTAGGCAGGTGCTCTGCCACTGAGTCATACTACCAGCCCAGTTCTTTGGTGCTATTTAGCTTGGGTAATATATCTATATATTAGAGTAATACAAAGATGTTCCCTTCTCCTCATTCCCCCCATTCCCACCTTCTGCCCAGCATGATTATAACCATGGCATTCATGTATAGTCCTAGCATTTGGGAGGCAGAGTCAGGATGACCTCAAGTTGAAGGTCAACCTGAGCATCATAGAAAACTTAAAGGTCACCTGAGACTCTGTCTCAAAAAAGGAAAAACAAAGACAAACAACAGAAGCACCCTGTTCTTCTCTCCATGCCTAAACCTATTCTTTTGCATTCCTAGTCTTCATAGCAATACGAATCATGCAGGCATTGACACCAGAATTAGGAGTCACCCAAGTTCACTCTTTCTCTCCCTACATCATTTAATTACCAAGCCTTCCTGATTTGTGCTTGGGTATATTTAGTATATTTCTGAAATCTATTCATTTCATCTATTTATTTCACCTAGCTACCCTTACCTTAGTTCAGTTCACCACTCACCAGGACTACTACAAAGCCTTTCAAACTCTTCTCCAATGCTTCTAGTTTACTCTCCTTAAACCTGCCTTTCCAAACCACAACCATGATTCTGCTCTTTTAACTTTCCCATAAAAGGTCTTCAGTGGCTCTCCATTTCCTACAGGAGAAAAGTCCAATCTCCTTCATATGTTACCTTATGACTCTTTGGTTGCTTTATCCTCTACCATTTCTGACTCTGAAATTTACGCTTTATTCTTTCTCTCTGATTGTACTATACATTTTATGAACTGCCTACTCACAAAGCTGAATGGACACTCAATAAATGTATGTGGAATTTTACCAAATAGAAATGTCAAATCATATAATTGTTTTGATGCTTTATGATTTTCTGGCTTATCCAATGTAGGTGTGCTAGATTAATATCATTATATCATTAGACTCTTAAGTATTCTCTTAATATCAGTATGTCATTAGACAACTGCATATACCTTTCAAAATTTTGTAACTGGCCTATTTTTAGGAGTAAGTTGAAATTTGTACCCACATACTACTCACGTTGCATTTTAGTAAGGATTAGAAAATTTAGCCAGGTGCCAGTGGCTCACTCTTATAATTCTAGCAACTTGGGAAACTGAGATTGACAGGATCTCAGAAGTTCAGGACAAGCTGGGGCAATTAGTTTGTGAGACCCCCATCTCCAAAAATAACCAGAGCAAAATGGACTGTATGTGTTGCTTAAGTGATAAAGTGCCTGCTTTGCATGCGTGAAGCCCTAAGTTCAAACCCCAGACCCACCAAAACAAAAAAAATTTTTAGAAAACTTAGAAAAGAATTAAGTAGAAAGAAAAATAAGTGAATCAAAATCCCACCATGCCAGTCCTAACTCTTGTTAAAGTTTTTGATGCATATATCACTTTGAAAAAGAAGGCAAGGAACCACAAGCTCCTAATAAAATATATTGGTAAGTGTCAAAAATATATGCTAATGTCATTTCAGAACAATTTTAATCTCATTTTAAAAATCTTATTTAGGGAAGAGAAAACACGGAAGAATCAGTGTTGGAAATCTCTCTTCATAGACACTTACTCTGATGTAGGAAGATACATTGACCATTATGCTGCTATTAAAAAGGCCTGGGATGACCTCAAGAAGTATTTGGAGCCCAGGTGTCCTCGGATGGTTTTATCTCTGAAAGGTACCGGGAATGCAGAGTTCTCTTTCCCCATTTTAGTTACTATTACTATAGACAGATTAGTTTAAATAACTTTGAATCTCTCTCTATGCAACTTTGTTAACCCAACCTTATTTAGTTTCCATTTCATTAATTTCTGCCTCGTCATGATTTCTTTCCATCACTAATTCAGGGCTTGAGGTACATAATTAGGTTATTTATTTGTGATCTGTCTGATTTTTTTGAAGGAGACACTCAGCTATAAACTTCCCTCTTAGAACTGCCTTTGCTGCATCCCACAGGTTCTGGTATACTGTATTTTCATTTACATTTGATTCTAGGAATTTTAAAATTCCCTTGATTTTTTTTTTTTCCATGACCCACTGATCATTCATTCTCCATGTGTCCGGTCTTCATGTGTTTGTGTAGTTTCTCTTGCTATTGATTAATTTCATTCCATTATGATCTGATAAGGTACAAGAAATGGTTTCAGTTTTCTGTATTTGTTAAGATTTGCTTTATGGCCTAAAGTGTGATCTATTTCTAACCTTGTCTTTAATTCACCATTCTCATTTGGCCAAGGAAGTAGAACATCAATATTGTTAAAAGGACCTTTGCTCTAGAGCGTGTCCAGTTCTTGCTTAGTCATAGGACCCACGTGGTTATTTATTTTCAGAGAGAGCTGAACTTATTTTATCTTCATATTTGTTTTATTAACTATCACGATTTCTTTTTAAAAGATTTTTCTGTGTGGTGCTGGAGACCAAACCCAGAGCCTCACACATGCTAGGCAAGCACCGTACAACTGAATTACACCCTCTATACATTATTTTTTTAATTGAAAGCTTTGCCTACTGTTTCAACACCTTTTCCTTTTTTTGGTACAAATAAATGTTTGACAATGTAATATTTAGAAAGAACCTGGGTCTTTAAGAGTGTAAGAGTAGCATAATAGAGAAAACTTTTATCTTTATTTTAATATTTACAAGTAGTGAAACTGAGATTAGAGCTGAGGTCTGTTTGATCCCAGGATCTGTGTTATTTCTAGTAAACTATTATCCAATTTTGGCAAGAAATATTAGCAAGTTATTTCCATTCATTTGATTTGTTAACTAATGCTCATGAAAATGCATAAGTGTGTTGCTACTTACTTGCTTTACCTTCCAAGTTTTTTCAAACCAGTGAAAGGAATCATGCACATGTTTTGGTTTTGCTGAGTTAAATTGGAATCTGTTCTTCTCAAATGTTTTCATTTCTTAGAACCAAGGTCTCTTCTGAAATAGCATTCCTTTTATTTTTCACATTTCTACTGTAATTTCTCATGCAAATATTATTTTCATACAAATCATTGAAACTGAATTGTTAGAAGGTAGAAGAAAATGATTTTAGTAGAGGGAACGAGCTTTGAAGGAAAGTACCCTTGATTAATATTTTAATATATTTTTAATAGAAGAGGGTAATATTATTATAGGTATTTAGTGGTGGTAAGTAAAATAGGTTAATAGTTTACAATATTTTAAACACTAAGCTAAGTGTTTTGTATTATTCCCAAAGGGTGAAAATAGGTATTTAGTGGTGGTAAGTAAAATAGGTTAATAGTTCACAATATTTTAAACACTAAGCTAAGTGTTTTGTATTATTCCCAAAAATGTTATATCATAGGTAATTCCTGTTCTTATTTCAGAGGGGGACTACCTAAGGCATAAAAGAGTAAGTTATTTACAATCACAAAGCAAAAGGCAAAACCAGAAGTTAGATAGAGGGCTCACTCCAGAACTGTGGTCTTAACATTGGCTGAAGAGAGAGAGGACCTATGCTATTTTGTTTAGAATGTCTTAGGTCTCTTTAAGAGCTAGTCCTGTATTGGGACATTTGAAATTTGAGAATATAGATACAGTTCTCTCTGCCCCCCATCCTTTTTTTCCCCCCATTCATTTTGGCATTTTCAGGTTCCCTACTGTTTGTTCTGTACCTAGTATTAGGTTGTTAGAGAATCCTTGACTGCTCTTGCTTTACTACCAGGTTTCAGTTCTCAAGGACTTGAATGCATAGGAATAGGTAGGTAAAAGTCCTGGGATGTCTACAGTGCTAGGAATTCTTAGAATTCTAGGTTTATGAATTCTATAACTGAATGAGGAGCTAACTGCTCCCTTCAGGTGCCACAATTCCTGATTGAACTTCAAGGTTATTGATGTGGCAGATAAGAAAAGGAAAACCAGCAAGCACATATTCATTGGGTTTGAGACAATTTTTATAGAGCATCTTGAAATTATGGAATCCTAATGTTCTCATGCTGTATCTTAAAATGTCTTATTTACCTTACGTGTTGGCTTAGAATTTTAGAGTTGGAAGGGAATTTAGCAATCATTTAGATCAGGGGTTAGCAGATTTTTTTCTTTAAATAGCCTAATAGTGAATATTTTAGGCTTTATGGGACACGTGGTCTTTTTGTTCTTTCGGGAAAGCAGCTATAGACACTATATAAACAAATGGGTGTGGTTGGGTTCCTATAAAACTTACTTTATAGAAACAAGCAGTGGGTCAGTCCCTGATTAATTCTAGTGCCCTCATTTCATAGGTGAAAACACATACCCAGAGAGTTTAGGAGATCTGTGCAAAGTTCCATAACTAGTAAGTGACAGACAGAACTTAGTCTTCTTGGCTTCTGTTAACCTCTCACTGCTTCCTCATATGAGTAAGCTAAGGGATGAAAAAGTAAATTAATATTTATTAAGTGCCAGTAAAGCACTTTATTAAATAATCTCATGAAGTCTTATTTAATCCTCCCTATAATTCTCTCAGGTAGGTGGTATTATCTCCCTTTTTGCAGAGGAAACAAGATTAGAGAGGTGAAATAACTTGTCAAAGATCACACCGTCAGTAAGAATAGAGTCAGAACTTATATGGCCCTTATCATAATAGAAATACCTCTGACAATGTTGAACTTACTGTATTATAAACATATATTTCTTTTTGTTTTTGTTGTGTTTACTTATACTTTTTTATATGTTAAATATTTGACATGTAGCACATAACATACAAATCTTTCCTTATACAACTCACTTGTTCAGGCAGCTGTTGAGTTTGGTTCCTTTTGTATTAAAACCTTCTTTTTAAAAATAATCTTTCTATTTTAGAATAAATTTTAGATTTCCAGAAAGTTGTAAAGATGGTTTAGAGAGTTCTGTATACCTGTCACTCATTTTCTTTTACCCCTAATGTACGGCAGTATGGGACATTTATCCAAACTAAAAAGTCTTCATTAATGTTCCTGTTAACTAAACACTAGACTTCATTTAGGTTTCTCCAGCTTGTCCATGAAGATCCTGTTTCTGTTCCAGGATCCAGTCCAGAATACCACGTTGCCTTTGGCTTTGTGTCTCTTTAATTGTCCTGGCAGTTTCTCAGCCTTTCCCTGTCTTCTATGACTTTCAGTTTTGGGAAGTCCTCAGGAGATATTCTGTAGAAAATCCCTCAAACTGGTGTTGTCTGATTAGACTGCAGTTGTAGGTTTCTAGAAAGATTACTGCCGCATTTAAGTGCACCTCCATCACATGCTATTCAGGGGTACATGCTGTCACTAAGATGTTAACCAACATACAGAGTGTACACGGATCACAGGGGCATAGCTCACTGAATTATTACAAAGTGACAATCATTGTAACATCCCACAGACCAGAAGTGAAGTGTCATCTGTACCTAACAGCTCTTTGTGTCCCTTCCCACTTTCACAGAGACAGCCACCATCCTGATTGTTAATGCTGCAGATGAGTTTTCTCTCTTTGAACTTTGTCTAAACTGCACCATTAAGTATGTGTCATATAAGAATTGTTTCTGTTTTGGCTATGAGAGTCACTTCTTTGTGTGTAACAGTTTTTTCACTTTTGTTGCAACGTAGTACTCCAGTTCTGTCTATTACAAATCCTTCTGTACATATTTATGGTGTACCTATGAGCACATTCCTATCAGGTTATAGATTATACTTGTATTAAATTTCAAAGATACTGTCAATTTTCCAAAAGCTTCTGCCAGTTTATTTTCTATCAACACTTTGTCATTTTTTATTGATATTATTTTAGTCTTTTTGGTGAGGGGATAGTAGTGATTTTAATTTGTACTTCCCTGAGGATGTAGAAAAATGAGAGTTGTATTTCCAGCTTATCACTTTTTTTTTTCTTGCTTTATTGTTCTGGCAAGGGCCTTCAGTACAGTGTTAAGGAGAAGTAATAACTCCTTACCTTTCTTATCTCAAGGGGAAAGCTTTCAACCTTTCACCTTTAAATATGATGTTTGCTGTACAGTTTGTGTAGATTTTCTTTTTCTTGGTTGGTTTTTTGAGAGAAGTCTCACTATGTAGCCCAGGCTGGCCTTGAACTCTTAATTCTCCTATCTAACCCTCTCAAGTGCTGAGATTATAGTTAGGCACCACCGTACTCTGCTAGATATTCTTTATCAGGTTGAAGAAAGTCCCTTCTGGTCCTAGTTTGGGAAACAAGGCTTTTTAGTTTTTATATTTTAAATGAATAATTAGGATTTTTATCAACTATCTTGCCTGCCTTGTGATTATTACATGATTTTTCTCCTTCATTCTGTTAATGTGGTAAATTACATTGATTTTTCTGAATATTGAACTTTGCATTCCTGGAATTAACTTTTTTAGTTATAATACATTTTATATATATATACATATTGGATACATAATTTATATACATTTTGGATTTAATTTACTAGTATTTTATTAGAGTTTTTAAATTGATATTCATGAGTTTGAACTGCAATTTTCCTTTCTTGATGGCCTTCTAAAACAAATTAGGTAGTACTGCCTCTTTTTCTATTCCCTGGAAGACTTGTGTGAGCTCAATATAGTTTCTTGCTTAAATGATTAGCAGAATGTGACAACAAGCTATTCAACCCTGGGGTTTTCATTATGGGAAGGTTTTTAATTAAGAATTCAATTTCTTCTTAGATATAGGACCATTCAGACCTTTTATTTATTCTTACATCAATTTTAATAAATTGTGTTTATCCAGGAAGTTGTCTATTTCATTCACATTTTCAAATTTTTTAGCATAAAATATTTTATAATATCCTTTTGTTTTATTAATGCTTATTAAATCTGTAGTGATATCACCTTTTCCATTTCGGATATTAGTTAGTTACAATTATAATTTCTTGATCAGTCTTGTCAGGTAAAGAGTAGTCTTTTCAAAGCACTGGCTTTTTGGTCAATCTACTTTATTGTATGTTTGTCTTCATTTTATAAATTCCTTTGCTATCTTGTTTTAGTTTACTATGATTTTTTTTCCTGACTTGAGATGATTGCTTAGATCATAGATTTCTCAGGCTTTCTCCCCACCCCCAGTGCATTTAGGGCTATAAATTCCCCTCTAAGCATACTAACTTATCCCACAGGTTTTAATATGGTGTATTTTCATTGCTATGCAGGTCAAAGTTGTTTTATTGTTTTATTTATTTATTTATTTTGAGACACAGTCTGACTATGCTAGCCTGGAATTTGTGATCCTCTTTCCTTCAGCTCCTAAGTGGTGAGTTTACAGGCCTAGGCCACCATGCATGCTCTCAAAATATATTCTTATCCTTTTTTAAGCCATAGGTTATATAGAAATTATTGTTTAATTTCCAAATATTTGGAGCTGTTTAATGATTTATATTTTCCACTGTGATCAGAGAATTCTATAACTTCTATCATTTGAAATTTGTTGTGACTTGCTCCGTGGTCTAATCTATGATCTGTTTTAGTAATTGTTCCATGTATACTTGAAAAGAATATATATCCTTTTGAGTTGTTGAGTTCTGTACTATATATATAATTGGGTAAAATTTGCTAATCTGGTTCAGATCTTTGGCACCCTTACTGGTTTTTTGTTTGTTTTGTGGTTTTGTTTTTTGTTTTTTTTCTTCTTTCCATTAGTTAGACAGGTGTGTTGATGTCTCTCACTGTGGTAGGCAGTGTAGTAGGCAGTCTCAGGTAGCCCCCAAGATTCCCACCTCCTGCTGAATGCCTGATATACTTGTCTCTCCTGGAGAATAGGTGTTACTGTAAACTTAATTGATTTCACTCCCATGATTAGGCCATATTACATGAAAAGGGCAAGGGACTGTGCATATATAGTTAAGGTCTTAAATGAGTTGAATGTAAGTTCACTGTTAATCAAAAGAGAAATTTTCTTGAGGAGGGCCTGGCTTGATTTCAAGTGAAATCTTTAAGAGACCAGAGATTCAAAGTGTGTGTGTCTTCCATTGACTGAGTAAGCAAACTGCTATGTTATGGAAAGGGCCACATGATAGGTAGCAATGGCAGGTGGGCTCTGGATGCTGAGAGCCTCAATCATACAACTGTAAGGAATTAAATTCTGCCATCAATCAGCAATCTTGGAAGAGGATCCCAAGCAAAAGATGTGTAAAATGAGATAGCAGCCTCAGTTGACACCATGATTTCAGCCTCGTACCTGAACAGAGGATCCAGTTGTCATCCCTGGACTTCTGACCTACAGAAACGAGTAATATAAATGAGTGTTCTGGCTCAGTTTCCTGGGAGGTGGGCTCAGCCTACTCACCTCCCCTCAGCTGAGCCTAGAGTAGAGGGGCCAGGTGTTCACCTGTGTGGGAGAGGTGTTTAAGAAAGCCTTGCCCAGGTTATCCCAGCCTCACATTTACTTAAAAAATAAATAGGTGAGTGCTATTTTAAGCTGCTAATACTGCAGCAGAAGAAAACTCATACACCTACTATGCTTGTAGACTTTTGTTCTGAGATTTAAAAAAAATATATGTTAAAGCTGTGTTATTTAGATGCATACAATTAGAATTATAATATCTGTGTAGTGAGTTTAATCTTTTTGTCATTATGAAAGTTCTCCATTAGCGCTATTAAAGTTATTTGCCTTAAGCCTGTCTTTGTGATTTTATTAATCATTCTAGCTCTCCCCCCCCCCAATATTTACATTAAGATGTGTCTTTTATATAGGTTTGGGGGGAGGGTTTGTTTAGTATTTTGTTTTTTTGGTGCGGTAGATTGAAACCAGGTCTCATGTGTGCTAAGAATGCTCTCTACCTTGGAGCTATATCCCCAAGCCTTTGTCTTTTATCTCATCTGTCAGTTTGTCTTTTCATTAGATTATTTAGCCTATTCATAATTAGCATGTTTACTAGTATATTTGTATTTAAATAGTATCATGTTCACTCTTCTTTTTTTTTTTTTGCATTCTTCTTAACTATGTTTTATTCCATTCCTTCCCCCTTTTTAGATTTCTTTTTTAGTGATTATGGTAAAGATTAAAACATCTTTGCTTTATTAAAATCTTTGATTTATTAAAATCTAATGTAAATTAGTATATTTACCACTTTCTAGACAATGAAAGAATCTTATAATACTTGATTCTAATCACCTCCCTCCTGCCTTTTGTATTATAGTCCTTCTGGGGCGGAGGCTGCTGGGTGTCAGACCCAGGGCCTCACACATCTTATGCAACTGCTCTACCACTGAGCTGCACCTTGAGCCTCTTTACATTAGCGCTTTCACGATTTTAATTTTCAATGTACTTAACATCCCTGAAAACTGTTAGTTTCTACATATTCAATATTTTAGATTTACCTTCATATTTATCTTTTCTGGTTGCTCTTCATGATTTCCTATAACTTCATGTTTCTGTCTTGGATCATTTTTCTACTATCTGAAGAATTCCTTTATTCCTTTTTAGTATTTGCTTTAGTGAGGGACCACTGCTACTGAATGTTGCCAGGTTTTCTCCCTTCCTCCCTCCCTCTCGCTTGTCTTTTCTTCTCTTCTCTTCCTTCCTTCCTTTCTTCCTCCCTTCCGCTTCCTTTCTTTGTCCTGGGGATTGAACCCAAGGTCTTATGCTTGCTGGGTAAGTGCTTTACCACTTGGGGTATACCCCCAGCCCCACCAGCTTTTCTTAGTCTAAAAATATATTTATTTCATCTTCACTGTTGAAGGTTGTATTCACTGGATATAAAATTGTAATCAGCACTTACTCTTTTCCTTACTACTTTGAAGACATCATTCTTGTGACTTCTGTTGTTTCTGTTGAGAATTAAGATTTCAGTCTTACTGTTGTTGCTTTGAAGGTAATTATTAATCAAATTAATTAAATCTTTTCTCCACTCTGGTTGCTTTTAAGATTGCTCAATCTTTGATTTTCAACACTGTTCCAAAAGTGTGACTGGATATGATTTTGTAATTACTCTCCATGGAGTTTATAGTGTTCCTCGAATCATGGCTTTATATTTCCATGAATTTTGGACAATTCTCTACTGTATCTCTTCAAATACTACTGCCTTACTCTAGGCATGCACCACCATGTCCAGACCAGCCTCATGCTTTTGATTGCTTGGAAAGCATTTCTTGAGTTTTGGTGTAATGGTTCTTTTCTCCTAAAAATTTGCTTCTGTTTTTTGACTGTAATTCAATGAACAGATCACCTTAATCCAGTCAGGGATTGATATGATTGATACGAAGCTGGGCATTAGTCTTTGTGAGGACTAGTCTATTTTCTGTTCACCTCCATTCCTAGGGCATGGCCCTTCTAAATCCTAGCCTAAAAACTTTGGATTTTCACCTGACCCCTTACTTCTTCATAGTCTCTGGATTCCAGGTTTTTGCCCCGTAATATTGCCTAAATCTTTGCTTTGCTTCTTGACCTCTCAGTCTCTTGTTTTCTTTTAATATTGGCAATTACTTCAGAAACATGGTGTTCAGAGGCTTGACTCACCTCTTAGTTTACTTATTCTTCTGGACCCCTTGTCTTCAGCTTTGTGGCTTTTTGAGGCTGGCCTTGAATTCACTATTCTGCCTCAGCCTCCTGAGTGCTGGGATTATAGTTGTGCACCATCATGCCTTGCTACTTTTGTGTGTGTGTGTGTGTGTGTGTGTGTGTGTGTGTGCGCGCGTGCGTGTGTGAGTGCATGTGCTTAAGTCTTCAAAATTTTTTGTTATTATTCAGTGATGAGAGGTTGGCCCAATGGCCTGGTGGGCCATTGCTGGAAGTGGATCTCTTCTACTGGTATTTGTCACTTCTTCCTGCTTCCAAAAGCAGGAATACATGGCAAGTTTACAAATGTGCAAACTAGAATCCAGGTTAGTTGTTGCCTCACTGTATGAACCTACATCTTAGGTATTATATTTCCCATAAAGAGAACAACAACAAAAAGAGCAATGTTGTTAGCGCCTGTAGCTCACACCTGTAATCCTAGCTACTCGAAGGCCAAGATCAGGAGGACTGAGGTTTGAGGCCAGCCTGGACAAATAGTTTCTGAGACTCTATCTCAAAAATACCCAACGGGAAAAAAGGGCTGATGGAGTGGCTCAAGTGGTAGAGTGCCAGCCTCGCAAGCATGAACCCCAGTACCACACACGAAAAAGAATATAGAGGATTTTGAAGTTTTTTTTTTTAAATAAACAAAAGCAGTATGACTATTAGGTGTAGAAAAGTGAGATATGCCCTATGTTTTGTGCTATAATGTAAAGAAAAATTATTGGTGTCCTTTCCATATTTTCCCAAGTTGCCAGTGTTTTCCGTCAAGAGGAAACTAGGGACTTTGCCTTGTGCTGTGCTCCCCACGATGACCTTCAGTTCATTTCCCGTGCTTTAGCCATATGTTTCAGGCAGAAGTGACTGGCTCTAAGATTGTCTCACTGGTTAGCTGACAGATGATTAGGCGGAAGGCTTTTTGTATCTTCACATTTCCCTCCTTGGTGTCCGTTTGCAGAGGGCGCTCGCGAGGAAGACCTTGATGCTGTGGAAGCTCAGATTGGTTGTAAACTTCCCAATGACTACCGGTGTTCATATCGAATCCACAACGGGCAGAAGTTAGTGGTTCCTGGGTAAGGTGCTTGATGGGATTTTTAATACATGTTGCTATTTTTAATGTGATTTTCCAGAATGAAAATAAATAAATTTTATTTGTAGTTATCCTTAATAAATTAAAGAAGTATAAGAATTCCCTCTTCCTCTTTATAGGAATCCATAAGATGAAAATCTATTGCTTGAATTAGATTTTACCAAAATAAATATATCTCATAAAGACCTCATTTTAACCAACACATCTTCATAACTAAAGTGGAGTCTGTTTGGGGATGGGGGCTCTGGGGACATAGGGTAGAGGTGGATTTATGAATATATTTGAACTAAACTGTTGGGAACACTTGGCATGTTATAGGCCAGGCAAATTGTTTTAGGAGCTTGATGCAAATTCTATCTACTATGCATGAAAAGTACACTACCTTGTTGAGAGCTATATACACTAAAGAAAATCTGTCATATTCACCTGCAGCCTACCATTGAATAAACTGTTCAAACCTTCTAAAAGATTCTATGAGATTCATGTGGAATTTTTTGGTAAGAGGAGACCATGTAGTAGCCATCAAATTTACTTACAATTTGGGGTGGTATTTTTTGTTTGTTTTTTGTTTTTGGCAGTACTCAGGTTTGAACGCAGGGCTTTCACCTTGAGCCACTCCACCAGCCCTTTTTTGTGATGGGTTTTTTGAGATAGGGTCTCATGAACTATTTGCTTAGGCTGGCTTCAAACTGTGATCCTCCTGATCTCTGCCTTCTGAGTAGCTAGGGTTATAGGCGTGAGCCACTGGCGCCTGGCCAGTTATATTTCTTTTAAAAGACTGGCATTTAAGTAATTTAGACATTTTATTTTTAAATTTGAATCAGAATCTTTCTGATCAAAGGAGTTTGAATTTAACATGTAGAAATTGGAGTAGTTTTGGCATTTCTGGTTTAGAATTATGCTAAGCAATGCTTAGAAAGTTGTCAATGTATAGTTCATAAAGATGTCTGTTTGGTACTGTTGCTGTTTTTGTTTGTTTGTTTTTACATTTTGAGTCTGTTTTCTCCTCAGGTTGCTGGGAAGTATGGCACTGTCAAATCACTATCGTTCTGAAGATTTATTAGATGTCGATACAGCTGCTGGGGGATTCCAGCAGAGACAGGGACTAAAATATTGTCTCCCTTTAACTTTCTGCATACATACTGGTTTGAGTCAGTACATAGCAGTCGAAGCTGCAGAGGGCCGAAACAAAAATGAAGTTTTCTACCAATGTCCAGTAAGTAGGAAGTATTTAATTGTGGCTTTAGAATGCATTCTGATGATTGTATAAATGTGTGCATTAGTTATTTCAGGGATATAGAATAATGATAGGCACTTAAATTAACTAGACAGCTAATATTCAGACATAATGGCATAGAATGTCAAAAGAAATTTCACCACGGGACAAACAGTGCGAATTGTTGCACATACAGAGGGAAGGCTGTGATCATGTCAAGGCATTGTAAATGTAAGGAAAACTAATAAACTTCTTGTTGAACAAATTGTATGTTTCTACTTTCTTAAAAGTTTAGTTTTTGAGATTCTGTGACTTTTCAGGTTTCTTGACTGTGACTCCAAAGTCCTTTCTTTAAGGTAGCAAGCCTTATATCTTAATACCTTACTGCCTGATCATGCTCTTGAAGAATAATTTCACAGTTCATTGCGCCAGTAACATCCCTACAAAGTGTTTCTCTTATTGACAAGTGCTGCTACTTTATACAAGTGCCAATGACTTTATAGAAAGTCTTTTTTCATGTTTACGTAGAAATCATAAATAGGACCCAAAAAGTGTGAGGAATGTTTGAGTGTTGATTGGAACACTTAAGTTATTTTTATTTTTATCTGTTTTGCCTTGCTACAGGAAAAGATGCAGGTAATAAACAATGAGAAATGTATCAGTTACTTTTTTCTCCCCCATCTAGGACCAGATGGCTCGGAATCCAGCTGCTATCGACATGTTTATCATAGGTAAGAGAAAAGACAATCATTCTTTTCTTTTTTCCTCCCAGTTAAAAAAATGAACTGAGCGCTGGTGGAGTGGCTCAAGTGGTAGAGTATCTGCCTAGCAAGCATGAGGCCCTGAGTTCAAACCCTAGTACCACCAAAAAAAAAAAAATTTTCATCTCTTAGTAAGTTCTAAAAACTTTTGCATTTAGGCCTGAGCTTTCAACTCACTCTGACTCATGTGGTCCCTGGTTTCTAAGTTAACCAGTCTCTGAAGGTTATGCCACACCAGCATCGTTACACAGCACATTTTCAGAGATGGCCATCTGCACTCTAGTCCTGCCGTGCTACTGAATTTATAAGTCAGACTGCAGCTGCTAGACTGTTCGAGTGTCTTACTTTTAGCTTGCTGCTCTTCTGATAAGGTGTGGAGAAACCACTGTTGCAACAGAGTACTAAGATCTGGTAATACTGTTCTGGAAGTCAGAGTTTCTCCCAGAATAAAAAAAAACAAGGCCGGCGCCAGTGTCTCACGCCTGTACTCCTCGCTGCTCAGAAGGCAGAGATCAGGAGGATCATGGTTTGAAGCCAGCCCAGGAAAATATTCTGTGAGACCCTATCTCGAAAAAAAAAAAAAAAAAAACCACCACAAAAAGGGCTGGCAGAGTGGTTCAATGTGTAGACCCTGACTTCAAGCCCCAGTACTGCAAAAAAAAATAAAAGAGCAAAGAGACATGAGATACACGGAGCAGAGATGAGATGGGAAGTTAATGCTGGGTGAAAGACAAAGCAGTTTCCTGGGTACCTTGATAAAACCCTAGTACTGTCAAAGAAACAGCCAAACATGGGCACACTTTATTTTTATTTTTTTTTTTTCATTTTTCTTTTATTATTCATATGTGCATACAAGGCTTGGTTCATTTCTCCCCCTGCCCCCACCCCTCCCTTACCACCCACTCCACCCCCTCCCGCTCCCCCCCTCAATACCCAGCAGAAACTATTTTGCCCTTATCTCTAATTTTGTTGTAGAGAGAGTATAAGCAATAATAGGAAGGAACAAGGGGTTTTGCTGGTTGAGATAAGGATAGCTATACAGGGCATTGACTCACATTGATTTCCTGTGTGTGGGTGTTACCTTCTAGGTTAATTCTTTTTGATCTAACCTTTTCTCTAGTTCCTGGTCCCCTTTTCCTATTGGCCTCAGTTGCTTTAAGGTATCTGCTTTAGTTTCTCTGCGTTAAGGGCAACAAATGCTAGCTAGTTTTTTAGGTGTCTTACCTATCCTCACCCCTCCCTTGTGTGCTCTCGCTTTTATCATGTGCTCATAGTCCAATCCCCTTGTTGTGTTTGCCCTTGATCTAATGTCCACATATGAGGGAGAACATACGATTTTTGGTCTTTTGGCCAGGCTAACCTCACTCAGAATGATGTTCTCCAATTCCATCCATTTACCAGCGAATGATAACATTTCGTTCTTCTTCATGGCTGCATAAAATTCCATTGTGTATAGATACCACATTTTCTTAATCCATTCGTCAGTGCTGGGGCATCTTGGCTGTTTCCATAACTTGGCTATTGTGAATAGTGCCGCAATAAACATGGATGTGCAGGTGCCTCTGGAGTAACAGTCTTTTGGGTATATCCCCAAGAGTGGTATTGCTGGATCAAATGGTAGATCGATGTCCAGCTTTTTAAGTAGCCTCCAAATTTTTTTCCAGAGTGGTTGTACTAGTCTACATTCCCACCAACAGTGTAAGAGGGTTCCTTTTTCCCCGCATCCTCGCCAACACCTGTTGTTGGTGGTGTTGCTGATGATGGCTATTCTAACAGGGGTGAGGTGGAATCTTAGTGTGGTTTTAATTTGCATTTCCTTTATTGCTAGAGATGGTGAGCATTTTTTCATGTGTTTTCTGGCCATTTGAATTTCTTCTTTTGAGAAAGTTCTGTTTAGTTCACTGCCCATTTCTTTATTGGTTCATTAGTTTTGGGAGAATTTAGTTTTTTAAGTTCCCTGTATATTCTGGTTATCAGTCCTTTGTCTGATGTATAGTTGGCAAATATTTTCTCCCACTCTGTGGGTGTTCTCTTCAGTTTAGAGACCATTTCTTTTGATGAACAGAAGCTTTTTAGTTTTATGAGGTCCCATTTATCTATGCTATCTCTTAGTTGCTGTGCTGCTGGGGTTTCATTGAGAAAGTTCTTACCTATACCTACTAACTCCAGAGTATTTCCTACTCTTTCTTGTATCAACTTAAGAGTTTGGGGTCTGATATTAAGATCCTTGATCCATTTTGAGTTAATCTTGGTATAGGGTGATATACATGGATCTAGTTTCAGTTTTTTGCAGACTGCTAACCAGTTTTCCCAGCAGTTTTTGTTGAAGAGGCTGCTATTTCTCCATCGTATATTTTTAGCTCCTTTGTCAAAGATAAGTTGGTTATAGTTGTGTGGCTTCATATCTGGGTCCTCTATTCTGTTCCACTGGTCTTCATGTCTGTTTTTGTGCCAGTACCATGCTGTTTTTATTGTTATTGCTTTGTAATATAGTTTGAAGTCAGGTATTGTGATACCTCCTGCATTGTTCTTTTGACTGAGTATTGCCTTGGCTATTCGTGGCCTCTTGTGTTTCCATATAAATTTAACAGTAGATTTTTCAATCTCTTTAATGAATGTCATTGGAATTTTGATGGGAATTGCATTAAACATGTAGATTACTTTGGGAGTATCGACATTTTTACTATGTTGATTCTACCAATCCATGAGCATGGGAGATCTCTCCACTTTCTATAGTCTTCCTCAATCTCTTTCTTCAGAAGTGTATAGTTTTCCTTGTAGAGGTCTTTCACATCTTTTGTTAGGTTTACACCTAGGTATTTGATTTTTTTTGAGGCTATTGTAAATGGAATTGTTTTCATACATTCTTTTTCCGTTTGCTCATTGTTAGTGTATAGAAATGCTAATGATTTTTCTATGTTGATTTTATATCCTGCTACCTTGCTATAGCTATTGATGATGTCTAGAAGCTTCTGAGTAGAGTTTTTTGGGTCTTTAAGGTATAGGATCATGTCGTCTGCAAATAGGGATATTTTGACAGTTTCTTTACCTATTTGTATTCCTTTTATTCCTTCTTCTTGCCTAATTGCTCTGGCTAGGAATTCCAGTACTATGTTGAATAGGAGTGGAGATAGTGGGCATCCTTGTCTGGTTCCTGATTTTAGAGGGAATGGTTTTAGTTTTTCTCCGTTAAGTATAATGCTGGCTGTAGGTTTGTCATATATAGCTTTTATAATGTTGAGGAACTTTCCTTCTATTCCTAGTTTTCTTAGAGCTTTTATCATGAAATGATGTTGGATCTTATCAAAGGCTTTTTCTGCATCTATTGAGATGATCAAGTGGTTTTTGTCTTTGCTTCTGTTAATGTGGTTTATTACGTTTATTGATTTTCGTATGTTGAACCACCCCTGCATCCCTGGGATGAAGCCTACTTGGTCGTGGTGAATAATCTTTTTGATGTGTTGCTGAATTCGGTTTGCCATTATTTTGTTGAGGATTTTTGCATCAATGTTCATTAAGGAGATTGGCCTATAGTTCTCCTTTTTGGAGGTGTCTTTGCCTGGTTTTGGGATAAGTGTAATACTGGCTTCATAAAATGTGTTTGGCAGTTTTCCTTCCCTTTCTATTTCATGGAACAGTTTAAGGAGGGTTGGTATCAGTTCTTCTTTAAAGGTCTGATAGAATTCAGCAGAGAATCCATCAGGTCCTGGACTTTTCTTTTTGGGGAGACTCTTGATTGCTGCTTCAATTTCATTTTGTGTTATAGGTCTATTCAGGTGATTAATTTCCTCTTGGTTCAGTTTTGGATGATCATATGTATCTAGAAATCTGTCCATTTCTTTAGATTTTCAAATTTATTTGAATATAGGTTCTCAAAGTAGTCTCTGATGATTTCCTGGACTTCCATGGTGTTTGTTGTTATCTCCCCTTTTGCATTCCTGATTCTACTAATTTGGGTTTTTTCTCTCCTCATTTTAGTCAGGTTTGCCAGGGGTCTATCGATCTTGTTTATTTTTTCAAAGAACCAACTTTTTGTTTCATTAATTCTTTGTATGGTTTTTTTGGTTTCTATTTCGTTGATTTCAGCTCTTATTTTTATTATTTCTCTCCTTCTATTTGTTTTGGGATTTGCTTGTTCTTGTTTTTCTAGGAGTTTGAGATGTATCATTAGGTCATTGATTTGGGATCTTTCAATCTTTTTAATATATGCACTCATGGCTATAAACTTTCCTCTCAGACTGCCTTAGCTGTGTCCCATAGGTTCCGGTAGGTTGTGTTTTCATTTTCATTGACTTCCAGGAACTTTTTAATTTCCTCTTTTATTGCATCGATGATCCATTCTTCATTAAGTAATGAGTTATTTAGTTTCCAGCTGTTTGCATGTTTTTTGTCTTTACTTTTGTTGTTGAGTTCTACTTTTACTGCATTGTGGTCAGATAGTATGCACGGTATTATTTCTATTTTCTTATATTTGCTGAGGCTTGCTTTGTGCCCTAGGATATGATCTATTTTGGAGAAGGTTCCATGGGCTGCTGAGAAGAATGTATATTGTGTAGAGGTTGGATGAAATGTTCTGTAGACATCTACTAGGTCCATTGATCTATTGCATATTTTAGATCTTGGATTTCTTTATTGAGTTTTTGTTTGGATGACCTATCTATTGATGATAATGGAGTGTTAAAGTCTCCCACAACCACTGTGTTGGCGTTTATATATGCTTTTAGGTCTTTCAGGGTATGTTTGATGAAATTGGGTGCGTTGACATTGGGTGCGTACAGATTGATGATTATTATTTCCTTTTGGTCTATTTCCCCTTTTATTAGTATGGAATGTCCTTCTTTATCTCGTTTGATCAATGTAGGTTTGAAGTCTACTTTGTCAGAGATAAGTATTGCTACTCCTGCCTTGTTTTCGGGGGCCATTGGCTTGGTAAATCTTCTTCCAGCCTTTCATCCTAAGCATATGCTTATTTCTGTCGGTGAGATGAGTCTCCTGTAAGCAACAAATTGTTGGATCTTCTTTTTTAATCCATTTTGTCAAACGGTGTCTTTTGATGGGTGAATTAAGTCCATTAACATTAAGTGTTAGTACTGATAGGTATGTGGTGATTCCTGCCATTTAGTTATCTTAGTTGTTTGAAGGTTTGATTGTGTGTACCTAACTTGATGTTACTCTCTACTGTCTTGCTTTTTCTTATCCTGTGGTTTGGTGCTGCCTGCCTTTTCATGGTTAAGTTGGGTGTCACTTTCTGTGTGCAGGATCCCTTGCAGAATCTTTTGTAATGGTGGCTTTGTGGTCACATATTGTTTTAGTTTCTGCTTATCATGGAAGACTTTTATTGCTCCATCTATTTTGAATGATAGCTTTGCTGGGTAGAGTATCCTGGGGTTGAAGTTATTTTCATTCAGTGCCCGGAAGATCTCACCCCACGCTCTTCTTGCTTTTAATGTTTCTGTTGAGAAGTCTGCTGTGATTTTGATGGGTTTACCTTTGTATGTTACTTGTTTTTTCTCTCTTGCAGCCTTCAATATTCTTTCCTTAGTTTCTGAACTTGTTGTTTTAATGATGATATGTCGTGGAGTAGTTCTATTTTGATCTGGTCTGTTTGGTGTCCTGGAGGCCTCTTGCATTTGTATGGGAATATCTTTCTCTAGATTTGGGAAATTTTCCATTATTATTTTGTTGAATATATTACGCATTCCCTTCGCTTGCACCTCTTCTCCTTCTTCGATGCCACATGGGCACACTTTAAAAGGTGAGCTACCTGAGAACATGAAGGTACATCTTGATTCATTGAGGCCTAGTTTCTGGGAACTTTTGGTTACACACAAGATGCTATCTCCTATGTGTTCAGAGCACTGTTAGTAGGTATTTAAACATACTGGAAGTTGTGCGTAGCTGAGTGCAGCAGTGAATGTTGCCGAATATGCCCTCACCTTGAAGAATGTAGTTTGGTATCCATGGAAATCAGTTGAAGTGCATTAAGTAGACCTGCCAATTTCTTTTTTTTTTTTAATGCAAACCATAAAACTTCTCTTCTTCTTAGAAAAAATTTTATTCCATGACACATACAAAATGATTGTTTAAACACCAGTGAAATTACTAGTTCTAAGAACATAATATTGAGGAAAAATATATTAAAATAAATTAGAGCAGTTACATACAAAAAACACACTAAAACAAAATAAAAATATAAAATTGTGCCTCCTATGAGTTCTTTTTTGTGTGGTGCCAAGGATCAAAGGCAGCACCTTCTGTCAATTTTACTGACATTGTTCATATAGTTCTTTACTATCTTACTCAAAACGAGTAGACAATCAGTGACCTTTGAATACAACAGCATTTAATAAATAATGGGTGAGAATGGGCCATTAATAGATATTCAGAAAAGAGCTATTTTAGTTTTGTCTTCTCTCAAATGATGCCTTTAAAATTTTAAGTCTTTGTACTCTTAGATACAAGCCAAATTATCTTCCCTACAGAGCATAATTGGTAAGTATTACAAATTTAGCATAGGATAGTCAGAATGGCGGAGTGCAGAACTGGATTAATTGAAACCAGATCACAAAGAAATTATTGAATAACATTAAGGAACTAATGTGTTAGGTTATGTTAATAATAAATATGGGATCTGATAGTTATGTGGTACTACCTAGAAAGCATAAACATAATTCAACTGAACAGTTGTCATTGATCCAGTCACTGCATCATGGATGTATGGTCTGAACTGGACTATTCCAACAATTTTTTTTCTGCTTGAGCTGATCACTAAGAGTATGGAAGACCACTGTGCAACTGACTCTATCTAGCAGTACACAACAAGGTCACTCTGGGATTGGCCTGCTGTTCAGAATTCCACAATGCCACATACCTGGTAGAGGTCCATGCTGAGTCTGGTTTCTGCCAGAATTTTGTGCATGAATCAGGTTGTGTCTGAACTGTGACATATCGTCATTGTCTGAGAAGAGGTGCCTGGCATTTTCTCATAGTTTCTTCCTAGACATAACTATGAAGTATAAAAAATACTTTGAAGGTAGCTATAGGATTCTCTGAAAAGAGCTGGGAAGAAGGAGGGGGGCAAATAAAGTTACCTCAAAGAAATAAGGTGAATAGAATTGTGACTAGAAAGTGGCCTGATGAAAGACTAGCAGAATTATATCTATAATGTTATATCTACAAATGTTTCTAGTTTTGGTATCACATCTTAATCATAGAGGAATTATAATTCTTTGTTTCCTGTGTGTAGATTTTACAAAAACGACTTGTCCTTTACTCATTTTTCTCCTTTCTGGTTTATAGGTGCTACTTTTACTGACTGGTTTACCTCTTATGTCAACAATGTTGTATCGGGTGGCTTCCCCATCATCAGAGACCAAATTTTCAGGTATTTCATTTGGGGCTTTTTGGATCAAAATGAGTATAAGTCAGAAAAAACTGTCCATCACAGGTCATGAGATGACATTTCCCAAGAAGGTTAATAAAAGAACCTCTCATTACCCTAAATCTCTTTACTTTATTCTCACTTTAAAGCCAACACCCAAAGACTTAATCAGCTAGTATTTTTTATCTTAAAAGAATCAAGAGGAAGATTTGATTTTGATTTAAAACCTGTGCCTTGATAGTAGCTATTTAGTTTCTCTTTCAAAAAAAACAAAAGGTTGTTTGCCAGTTCATTTATTATGAGTAGCAAGTAGGTAATATGAAGTCCTAATGAATATTATTATCTCTAAATAAAATACTCAGGTGTTGTAGTTATAGTTAGAAGTGATATTATTAGTTCATAGTAGCCTTTGTGGCAGAAGTAATAGACTAGTAATACATTCAGGGCATCTAGATTAAGAGGCAGGAAGAACAGCTTCATTATACTTTACAGGTTGAATATACTTACATACATACATACTTTTATGTGTTTTTATTGTCAGAGCCACCATTTGGCAGATATAGCTGGGTTTTCAGATGTTCCCCAAACTTTCCTAGCTTTGAAACCTGAGATAAGCCCTTTTAGTTCCCAAACTAATTACTAATCTATTATTGGGACCACTGACCACCGGCCCTTGTCACTGTCATTACTAACCAGAGTCACCAAGATTTGTAACTTTCTTCTAAGTTTAGTAGGACTATACCAAATATGATGTGAAGTTTTGGTTCTAAAGTAAAGTATAAGTATGCTGTTGTACATTGTATGTGTAAACCTTTTATCCCTAGAATTGAAGTTAGTGGATTTTAAAACTTCTAATTTTTTTAATTACTAGGTACATCCATGATCCAGAGTGCGTAGCAACCACTGGGGATATTACGGTTTCGGTTTCCACGTCGTTTCTGCCAGAACTCAGCTCTGTACACCCACCCCACTATTCTTCACATACCGAATAAGGTGAGAATTTTAAATGGGGTCTCTTGTCACTGTGACAAAATACCTGAGAAAATCAACTTAAAGGAGGAGGGATTTATTTTGGCTCATGATTTCCAAGTTTTCCTTCTATGGTCACCGTTGTCTCCATTGCTTGGGGGCCTGTGCCTGGTGAGGCAGTGTGGCTAAGCAGAGCTGCTCAGTTTATGGCAGCCAGGAAGAGAGAGAATGCCACCTGCTGGGAACCAAGCCTTTAACACACAAGTCTTTGGGGCCATTTTACATCCAAACCATAACAGTCTCTTTTCAGTTAATAGTGGAGTATATTCTGTGCACTTGACATGATATAAGAAATGCATTTTGGGTATTTTTTGGTTGGTTCTTTGGTCCTGGGGGTGGAACCCAGGGCCTTGCGCATATTAGGCAAGTGCTGTATTAGTGAGCCACAACCCCAGGCCTAAAATGCATTTTGAAGAACACTTTCTTGCTGAAGTTTAGAGGAAGGTGAATGAATTTTCTACAATATAGTGTTCATGAAGGACTTTTATTTTATATTAGCATCTAAGTTTTTAAAGTTTTTTTCTTGCACAAGTACTGTGCCAGGTACTGTGAGAAGTGGATTATTAAGTTGTAATCATCAGAGCTCTATTTTAGAGTTAGGATACATTCTAGAAGCTATCAAATTGCCATACATAAAACTATGTTTTATATTTCAGCTGACCTGTCTATGTTTAATTTAAAAAATCAATAAATGTTTGAGTGCTTCATGTATGTCATACATGGTATTAAGCATTAGATTTGACTAAATATAAAATGAATATTTTATTTTATTTTTGAAGAATATCTCTGTTTTTTTCCCATAGTATTAGCATTTGAACTCAGGGCTTTGTGCTTTCTAGGCAGGTGCTTTGCCACTTGAGCCACACCTCCAGCCCTAAAAATGAGTATTTTAAACTCATTTTTTAGTTGGAAATATTCTGTGCTATCACATAAAGACAATTCATTGCTCCAAAGAGCAAGAATACTTTGTTTTAAATATATTTATTTTTATATACACACACATATAATGCCTATACTGGAAGTACTTTAGTAATAGATACTTACCAGAAAGCATCCTGAGATTTTGGTAATTGTGTGTGGCCTTTGATTTGTCCAAGGATAGGTATAAATGTTTGTTATTTTGATCATTTAGTTTAGATCCTGCCTAGGATTGAAACATGTTTAAAATAAAAACATCCACGTGTACTTCTAGGGTACTTAACGTAAAAATAAGAGATAGCAGGTTCCTAGCAAAGGGGAAATGACAGTATTGGGAAGGAGAGTGGAAGTGGAATCTCAGGAACTGGTGATTTTTTTGCATTGAACTTTTCATAAGTAAATGGAGAAAATAACCAGGGTTATAGGTTTGTCATGACTGAAAGACTACCTGCTCATTAGAAGTTTTCCATAGCACTGTGTTCTAGAGAGCATTTGTCAACTGAATCTTTATTCGAAAAGCAAACAATGGCTGTCCCATTGTTTTTGCATATGGTTATGTTGCCTGCTCCCTTGTTGATGGTTGTGAAAGTTAAGTGCATAAACCGGGGGAGGGGGAATGAAGTTAAGTAAGGCAATATCTTTGAGAACTTGGAAAAATAAATGGCTGACGTAGACTTTGGGTTGAATATCTTGATTTCCTTTGGAAATGGCCCTTTGCAATGCCATAGTTCTTATACAAAAAAGAAAAAAGGTAGCTAAGCCAGATTTGTTCCTCCCCCCCCCCTCCTTTCCCCAGGATTGAAATGTCGAAGGATGCGCTTCCTGAGAAGGCCTGTCAGTTGGACAGTCGCTACTGGAGGATCACCAATGCTAAAGGAGACGTGGAAGAGGTCCAAGGGCCTGGAGTGGTCGGTATGCAACCCAACATTTAAGCTTACACATCAGATCTTCCTGGACTTTGCTTCATAAATGTAATGAAGAGGTCCTTGGCCCATCATTTTAGTCCTTTAAGCATTAACTTTTCTAACATTATAGCAAACTCAGTTATTTAGGGATTGATGGGCTGGTGGAATGGCTCAAGTGGTAGAACACTCACCTGGGGTTCCTTGTTGATCCTTCTTGTGTGTGTGTGTGTGTGTGTGTGTGTGTGTGTGTATGTTAGATTGGCTAACTACTCATTATTGTATTCTTTGAGTTAAATGACTTAGGAAAATAGGAAGGAAAGAAAAACATTTTCCTTCCTTCTTTTTTTTTGTCAGTACTGGCATTTAAACTCAGGGCCTCCTACTTGCTAGGCAGGCACTCTACCACTTGAGCTACACCCCCAGCCCAATAAATTTTCTTAATAGTACAGATTTTTATTGGTTAGATTTCATTTACCTGAGTTTTCATTTACTTTGGTTTCCATGACCATTACCATTCAGCTTTTTTTTTTTAATATGATTCTCCTACATTTCTGAATTGACAGATTCTTCAGGTTTAAATATGTGCTTCAGGAAAATAATATATCTAAGTCATGTACTTCTGTTATCAGTCCTAGGCATCTGCAGAATTCAGAGTTTTGTGTTCTTGTTTTATTTATTTGTTTGTTCTGTGGTGCTGGGGATTGAACCAGGGCCTTGCATGCACTAGGCAGGTGCTCTACCACTTAAGCTATACTCCTAGCCAGATTCAGTTTAAATTAAAGTCTTCTAATCTATTGACATGAATACATTCATGTTCTACATGTTTACTTAATGAATTTTTCTTGGCCTTATTTAAGAATGTAGTGCTAAGGAATTTTATTTGTCATGCTCTTTTTTTGTCATTTGTCATTGGTGTAAGGACTTTCTGTTGTGACTGACATTTGTCTGGTCTGAATACTTACAATGCATCTTCAGAACCTTATGTTTTAGTCTCTTGTTACTGTTAAACAGTTAGATTACTCTTATCTTTGTTTGAATTACTAACTGAAGCACTTTTTATTACTCATTTATTACCTTGAAGATTGTATCTTCAAGGCCTGAAAGCACTTTGAACAAAAGATGTGATTCTGGGTGGCATTAACTCATGCCTGTAATCCTAGCTACTTGGGAGGCTGAGATAAGGAGGATCAAATCAGAAGAATTGAGGTTCAAATCCAGCCTGTGAAAATAGTTCACAAGAGCCCATCTCCAAAACAACCAGAGCAAAATGGACTGGAGACATGGCTCAAGTGATAGAGTGCCCAATTGCAAGTGTAGGACCCTGAGTTCAAACCCCAGTCCTGCCAAGAAAAAAGAAAAAAAAATGTGCTGTTTTTGTTTTGTTTTACTAGATATTCCCCACCTGCTACATTGTAGAGAATTTGGGGAATACAGAAAAAATGTCAAGAAGAATTAGATACTTGCTCAGAATCCCATCATCCCTAACATTTTGTTATATCTCCTTTTGGTTTTTTTTTTTTTTTTTTTTTTACTTTCACACAATTTACATAGTATCTTAGAGAACACATTATTTATTAGAATGAAGAACTGAATTTTACACTTTGACGGATTGTTTTCTCTGCAGGTGAATTTCCAATCATCAGTCCAGGTCGAGTATATGAATACACAAGCTGTACCACATTCTCCACAACATCAGGCTATATGGAAGGATATTATACCTTTCACTTCCTGTACTTTAAAGACAAGATCTTTAACGTTGCCATTCCCCGATTCCACATGGCATGTCCAACATTCAGGGTGTCTATAGCCCGATTGGTAAGTTAACTTTTCCTCCAGTGCTGATTTACATGACTGTAGAATTAACTCTACAGAACATCATCGTTTAGGAAGACAGTGGTTATAGATGATGTTCTAGAAAACCCTGGGCATACTGAGAAAGTATCTTGAGGGTTGTGTAAAGATGTTCAGGGGGCCAAACAAAGAAATTAAGATCCCTACTCTTTTCAGAGACACTACCGTTACCTGTTTTAAAGATTCAATCGCTTCTTCACTGTTTCCAAAAGTAGTTCTGTGCCCTACACGTATTAGAATATGAGAAGTGTCACACAAAGCCAGTCAGAATTGGCTTTATTTGATTTTATTAAGACTGAGAAGCCAGGCACCAGTGGCTCACACCTGTAATCCTAGCTACTCAGGAGGCAGAGATCAGGAGGATCGTGGTTCAAAGCCAGCCCGGGCAAATAGTTTGTGAGACCCTGCATCAAAATAATCCATACAAAACACAGAGGCTTAAGCAGTAAGCATGAGGCCCTGAGTTCAAATCCCAGTGCCACAAAAAAAAAAAAGACTGGGAACACAATTTCTTACCATCTTTTTGCTAAAACTCTTAATTTAGTAAACATATACCCTATAAAGAGCATTATAAAGATGACTTAAATGGGTGGACTTATACTTTTAGCAATCTCTGGGATCATTTCTCAAGTCAATCAGGTATATTTTTAAGACCTCATTTTTAGGATTACCTTGTAACAGGTAATCCCAGTTATGGACTATAACATAATTAAGTGAAAGTATGGACCTGCAACCAACCATAGGAAGAAAATATGAATAGGATATCCAGAATGCAACTGAGTTATAGGCCTGAGTGCTCAGAAAATGCTCTAGCTCCTGGGATGGCCCTGATGGGTGGGTCTGAGGTAAGTCTGGGAAGATGAATGTGATGTTCACATGACCCAGAAATGACACATTCACAACTCCAGTTTTCAAAGAAAAGGATGATGTGTGAGCCTTCAAACCATTCTACTTGTGGTATGGTGAAAAGGACTGAATTGGAAGTGAAATTTTAGCTTTTTCCCATTGGAGGAATGCTAGAAACTACTTCCAGTACTAGGAATGTGCTTCTCCTTATAACATACTTCCATTTTTGACTAGCCCAGTGTCTTTTGAGCCAATAACCTTATCTTTGTATGGTTAATATTCATCAGTGAAGCTATCTGGGACTGGAGTTTTCTTTGTGGGAAAAATTTTAAATATGAATTTAATTTCTTTAATATTCATTTTTCTATTTCTTCTTGTTTCAGTTTTGGTAATTTGTGCCTTTCAAGGAATTTGTCCATTTCATCTAAATGTTGAATTATTGGCGTAAAAGTTATTCACAATATTCCCTTGATATCCTTTTAATGGCTACCAGAGCTGTAGTCATACATCCTCTTGTTCTTAATATTGGTAATTTATATCTTCTCTTTTTTTAATCACATGATTATTATCACTTTTACTGATCATGTAAAGGAACAACTTTTGGTTTCAGGACTTTTCTCTATTGTTTGCTTATTTTTATTTCACTGATTTTTGCAGTTGTCTTTATTTTTCTCCTACTTACTTGGGTTTCATTTGATTTTAGACCTTTCCTGTCCTCTAAGCACTGTTTTAGCTATATTTCACAAATTTTGATGTGTGTTGTGTTTTGGTTAACATTTAGTTCAAAACAGTCTCAAATTTCCTTTGTAACTTAATTTTGATCTATGACTTTTCTAGAAACGTGTTAACTTCCAAAACATTTGGGAATTTCTCAGTTACCTTTTGGTTATTGAGTTCTAATTATATTGTAGTTAGAGAACTTACTCTGTATTTGCAATACTTTTAAATGTTTTATGGCCCGATATTATATAAAGAATTCATCTTGGTAAATGATCTTTGTGTATTTGAAAGAATGTATATTCAACCATGTTGAGGAATACTACTCTATAAATGACAGGTGAAGTTTGTTTGGTTAACAGTGATTTTTAAGTCATCTGTATATTCATTTATTGCTTTTTGTGTTTTCTTGTTCTGTCAACTACTAAAGAGACAATTGTTAAAATATCCAACTAAAATTATGCTTTGTCTATTTTCCTTTTTAGTTCTGTCAGACTGTCTCATGTATTTTGAAGCTTTATAATTATGTACATTTTTTAATGAAGTGCTTCTTTGACCATTATTAAGACTCCCTCTTCATCTCTAATAACATTCCTTGTCCTAAAGTTTAAAGAGCTTTGAGGTTTAAATGATAATGATCACAGATAGTTGATCATTTTGATGTTTGTTAATGTTTGCTAGGGTGGGTGTAAAGTCGTCTTTACTGAAGGACAGTGGTTCTCAGTCTCAGGCCTCCTTAGATGCTTAAAACTCACCGAGGACCCGAAGAGCTCTTGCTTGTATGGATTATACTGTACTTGCCATACTTGAAATCGAAACTGAAAAGTTTTATAATATATACTTATCAGTTCCTTTTAAAACTACAATAAATCCATACATGTTCAACCCTCTCTTAATTATGTATTTATTTAGAGTTTTAGTTTGCCTAACCACAAGTAAATATAAAAAAATCTTGACCTGCCTTATAGAAAATGTTTTTCTCTAAACAATGAGAAATCAATTTAAAAAAAAATTCTGAATTTATTCTAATCAACATAAAAAAGCAATGAGGGTTGTATTGTTTGGCCTTTCCTGTTTCTATTAGTTTTCTTGATAGGGAAGTTGAATCATTCAGTTCCTTTGTCATCCTCTGCCAGTCTGATTAATTAGTAGGCTTAATAATTCTTTTTTCTGTATACTTTGCCACTTTAAAGTACACTTTGGGTTAGCCATAAATGCCTTTTCTTGGTCTTGGTGGTTGTTCACTGGGCTCATTGAGGGCACTGTAAAGGCTCCCACTGTTCACTGATGTCATTCTCGTCTATGTCGTGTTCCACTTTATGATGGGGTGTGGTTCAGTGGCAGAATGCCTACCTAGCAAGTGCAAGACCCTGAGTTCAAACCCCAGTACTGCCAAAAAAAAAAAAAAAAGGCTGTTCCCCTTTCCATCTGCTGTTTGTGTACATACACTTACATCTCTCTTTAGCTGCACTGACTCTCTTAACAGTTTTGGTTTTCTCCATTAATATAATGGAGTTTAATGATTAATTATTAATGATTAATAACATACTACCTGAGTATCATGTTTTAGAATTTCCAAAACCTTCCTCTTCCTGCCTTTTGAATCTCCTACTAAATTTTGAAGTCTTTATTCCTTAGATTAAAAAAAATCCAGAGATACAAATAATGAAATATAAATCACATCTGTGTGTATTTCTGATTGTTATTATTGTGTTTAATAAATCCTAAGTGATACAATTCCTTTCTCCTACATTAATTCATTTGTTCAGTCAACAAATATTTGAGTACTGTGGTAAACTGCAGTCAAAATCCCTGCGTTGGACTTGACATTCTCACTGCAACAGACAACGTATAACAAACACTATTGTGTCAAGTGGTAACAAGTGCTATGGAGAAAAATCAGTACAGGAGCTAAAAGGAATATCCTGTCAGAATGTAATATAAAGATGTGTCCAGAAAGGCCATGATGGTATGAAAGGAGTGAAGAGAGCCAAGTGGATATGTGGAAGAAGAATATTCAGACAGAGAAGCAGCAAGTCTGAGGTCCTGACACAACACTGTGCTTCGGGTGTGTGAACCACGGAGGCCAGTGTAGCTGCACTCAGTGAACAAGGCCACAACAGTTGGAGGTGAGACCATGTTCCATAAAAGCCTAGTGGAGGCTGGTTGTGTTGGCCTGTAACCCCCTACTCAGGAGGCAAAGGCAGGAAGATTGAAAGTTCAAGGCCAGCCTGGGCTCCATAGTGAGAACCTGACTCAAACAAACAAACGAAAAAACCTTGGAGGAAGGACCTTTGCTGGCATCATGCCCCAAGTTCCCAGTACTTCTGGCTGTTCAGAATTCTGGCTGATATAGCAACTCTTCTCAGAGTCTTCAAAAGTGTATGAGAGGAAAGTAATTCAAGGCTTGATTTGAGACTCCTTGAGCAGAAGTGACATTTCAAGAGGTGTCTACTATATGGTCATCATCACTACTGTCCTATTGTGGAGCCTTAAGCAATGAATTTAAAAGTACAACATGGACTGGTTTTAGTGAATTGGCAAAGTGACACTGACTTCTGGAGTTAAGTTAGGAAAAGGCAGCCTCATTCTGTCTCCTGGAACACATGCAATTGGTACACCCAGCTACCCTGAAAGAAGCTACCACACTGAAGAGACCATGTAAACACATCTGTCTCAGTCTCCAGATATTTGGATCACCCCAGTCCATATACCAAGACATGTGAGTGAAGAAGCCCTTGAGGTGATAGCAGTTCCAGCCATTGTCTGTCTATACCATCATGACAGACCAAAAGCTAGAAGCACCCTATTGAGTACTTTGCAAATGTCCAACCCGTAGGAACCAGGAGACAGAGTAAATGACCGTTGTTTTAAGCCACTACAAAAATAAAAACATTTTTTTCACAAGTAGAAGCTACAGATGTTTGAATTAAAATGAGTATAGTAAGAGTTCAATAGAAATCAGACCTCTTGAAGACAGTACATAAAAGTTACCAGTAGAGGTCATACCTGATTAATACTTTCACATCCTCTTTTCTGTAAGCGTATGCATCAGTAAAGAATTGTTCTTTAAAACATTGGTATAAGTTCAGTAAAACTTTATCTTGGATTGTTAGGACTGGGCTTTTTGCTACCTTGTATGAATTACCAGCTATTTTATGAAAATAAGTACTGTCTTAATAATGTTTGCCATTAATAACCATACTGAGCACTGTTTATCACATGGTACACATTCTAGAATCTTGCATCTGCACGTGCATTATGAAATTGCACTGTTCACATCTGTGAAACTCAATGGGTAGGTCTGGTTGTTTGCATCCTAGATTATAGAATTGCTGTGAAAAAAACCTGATGGACATTCTTATCAAAAGATTGTTTTCTCTTTCAAGGAAATGGGTCCTGATGCATATGAAGAGATGGAAGAGGAGGAGGAGAGAGGAGGAGGAGGAAGACGACGATGATGATTCAGCAGATATGGATGAATCAGATGAAGATGAAGAGGAGGAGAGACGGAGGAGGGTCTTTGATGTTCCCATTCGCAGACGCCGCTGTTCACGCCTATTTTAGCGCTTCTGCTGATGGAAGCACTGGGATGACTCTAGTCTGTTAAATAGATTTCTCAATAATGTAAATAATTGTGCTTGGCATCTAGCAGGAAAATGCATGAAATATTGTCCCAGCCCTGGGCGCTATGTGATGCTACTTTAGGAGTTGGATTGGTTTGGTTTGCTTTGTGGTTTTGAGGTAGAGGAAACGGGAATCTTTTTTTCTCTTCCAGGAGTCAATGGAGAACAGTTCTCTAGCTAAGGAACAGACATATCTTTGTTTAAAAATATTTTCTACTTAGAAAAAATACAGAAATGGAGAGGGGATTGTTTAGAATAGGGATTTAAAATGTAGTGGATATACCTACACAAGGATAGAAAGAAACTGCATAAGACTCCTCGCAGTTGTGTTATTTAGAAATGAGCAACATTTGTAATTCGGCCAATCCATTTAGCAATCCTGATATTTTGTACTCACAGGAAACTAATTTGACTAAATTAGAGTGCCAATGGCTTGTCCTTTCTTAGACAATCTATCCTTGAATTTAAAGTCTTTATCACAAAGACCTTGCATTGAAAGTTTTCCTACTTGAATTTAATTTTAAAGTCTTCAATATGATGACTTTGAATGTAAGTTAAAGTCCTCACACTATGACTTTTATCAGATTATTTACTGATGCATCATTTTTAAATGTATGTAGTTTGTAAAAGTATGTAGTCTGTTTATTAACAAAAGGTTCCTCACAATGTCTCATATAGTCTAAATTTGTAAATACTCTTTCTGTTTTGTTTCTCCTTTATACACTCAACTGTCTAACGTTGTGATAAGTGACATGAATTTTATGTTAGGATTAAGGATGTTTCCTGAAACATGGAATTTTTTGGTAATCATATAATGGAGAGTTTGGAGTGAAATCCTTCAAGTGTCAAAACTCACATTTAAAAACAAATGGGTTTCAATTCTGTATTTGTATAATTGCCTATTTTCCCATAAACTAGTATCAAAATAAGCCTCTGCACTAAAGATGGAAGAGGGAACAAATACTTGGTGGCCTGCAGCCAGAAGGCCCATCCACAGTTATCCCTGGCTCTGACTACACTCTTTTGTGCTCCATTGACCATCTTCCCCAGGAATGGTTCTTGTAGAAAAAACAGGAAGAGGGAGCTAAGCAAAGCTAAGCGGCTGCCATCGGGACCAGGAAAGCAAACTTACCCTTTCATGTAACACATGTCAGAATGTTCTGAAACACTGTCAGTCATTTTTTCCTGCTTATTTTTCATATAGAAGAGCGTCACTCACTGCACAATGATTTTTCAATCAACAACAGACCATGTATGCACCAGAGGCCAGCGGCAGCTCATTTATCTTATTTACATTTGCCACATCTCTTCAATGCATCATTTTTTCTTGTACTTGATTTAATCTCATGTTGTTTTGTTCAACATCGCCCCTAAGCATACAAAATCCACTGCTAATGTTGCCAGTGAGAGGCTACATCCAGTAAGTTACCTGGAAATTAAAAGTAAGCACTATGAAGGTGAAAACTCTTCATGATGGTTATTTCTTACCAATCAGCCATTCCACCATAGCTACCACCTTAAAGAACAAGAGCAAAGTGATGGAAGCTGTTAAAGGATCCCTTTCATTGACGGCAACAAGATGCAAAAATTCAAGAAGGGTCTATATCAAATATGGAGAAACGTTTATGACCTGAATGAAGATGTATCCTCAGCACCTGGATGATGGGCAAAGCACAGTGTTTGCAATGTTGGAAGAAAAGGCTGGACCTGATTTGGGTGTTAGACTTACAAAATGGGTGGTTTAAATGATTCAAGGATTGGTACTCACTATAAAATGTGAGTATGAGTCTTGGATGCTGGTGTGAAGGTAGCCAACGAACAGAAAGTAGGTAACCTGATTGTGGAGGAAAATTACTTTCCAGAGAAAACCTAATTTCCATCTAGGTTTGTGTAAGTACACTCGTATTTCACAGTCACGAGATGACCCAGCAGTGAAATCACCCAGACATGCTTCTCATTACATGTCCCTTGTCATTAGTGACGCATGATTGTATTATAAGGCTACCAAGTCCTATTGCGTCTTTTTTTTAAGTGAACTGTCTTCATTTAGGCTGCCATAACAAAATGCTATAGATGTCTAATTTACAAACAATAGAAATCTGCTTGTAGTTTTGGAGGTTGAGAAGTCCAAAATCAAGGTGCCATCAGATACGGTTCTGGTGAATGCCTACACTCTGCTTCGAAGATGGAGTATTCCTGTCGTATGTTCATGTGGTGCAAGGGACAAGAGAGCTCTCTGAGGCCTCTTTTTCTAAAGGCACTCATCCTGTTATGAGGGCAGAGTTCTTATACGATCCAATTACCTCCTAAAATCCCATTGCTTCATCTTGTTGCTTTGGGGTTAGGTTTTAACATGAATTGGGAAGGGGTATGTGGAACACACTTTGATCCTAGCATCGACTCACTTATTTTTTAAAAAACCAAACTTTCCCAATCAGGTAAAAATTTAAAACTAGTTACAGAGACAGGCACTGGTGGCTCATGCCTGTAATCCTAGCTACTTTGGAGGCTGAGATAAAGGGGGTCAGGGTTTGAGGCCAGTCCAGTGCAATAGTTTTGTAAGACACTATCTCCCAAAATAGCCACAGCAAATTGGACTGGAGATGTGGCTCAAGTGGTAAAGTGTGAAACGCCCAGAATTCAAACCCAGTCCAAAAAAAAACCCTCAGAATGATTCAAGGTTGATGATCTTATCAAAATTTGCATTCTCTTGATTTGTGGATTGAACCTCCAGTTCATACTAAGGTGTGGTTAGTTGATAAGCCTATTTAATTTTGTTGGCAGGAATACTTACAGAAAAGGAATTCAGCAGTTGGCTTAACATTGATGCTCAGACCAGACTTCAGTGGAGGAAAGCCCATTTCTGGCTTTGAGGCCTCTTGAGAATACCACCTACTTTTTGTAAATTTATGTAAAAGCTCAGGATGAGAAAGATAGCAAAATAAACAGCTTAACTAGTGGAGGGGTTATTCTCATGTGAAAAGCCAGAGGTAACCCACTGAGGATGGACATGATGGTATGATGGTGTCATTAATGTCAGACTCTACTTATCTGTTGCCATCCTTGGCATGAGACTTTCCTTTAAAGGTGACCTCATGGTTGCAAATTGGCAGTTGCAGTCATATCAAGGAAGGATGATAAAAGGCCAAAGTGAAGTGGAGAATTAAGATGTAGGCTAGACGGGTAAACAAGCTGGGTCACTTTAACAATCATGAGGAAGGTAAGTGGGAGGAGGGGCCTAGGATGCAGGAATTAACACAGAGACTGGGGAAGTGGTATTAAGGAATTTGTAATAACACAGGCAAGCTATAGGCCACAGTTGGGGCAGGAGCCATAGGGGCACAGGGAAGGAATGAAATTGAGACACATAAATGATAGAAGCAGGCATGAGTTGGTGAGTTAGGTGTGAGGAAGTGAAAGACATGAGTTGATTCTTAGGTTTCTGGCTTTATTCATGAAAAAATGGTAGGAAAATAATTTTGGTCATTGGAGATGAGTTCAGATTTTACACATTGAGTTCAAGGTGTCTGTAGAACATGCAGATGAAGATGCCTAGTAGGGAGGCCCAGAGCAGGTGCCTGGAGAAGGGCCTGTTTCAGTTTCAAATGCATTTTGTAACTCTGCTCCATGTTATTAGGTGAGTTCCTACTTGTTGGGTTTCCTTTATTGCCCGATAAAGAGGTTGGGCAGTTTCTCCAAATCTAGGTATCCATAGTCTACAATATCCAGTTACTCCCAAGAATCTTCTTAGTTGCTTAAGGGTTGTGGGGATGGGATAGTCCAGAATGGGTTCAATTCTTTCCCACCCCAGGAAGTGAGTTCCCTTGCTAAGGGTCAGGCCCAATACTTCCTCTAAGCAGAGTTGGGCCTTAGTTTTAGATACCTTATACCTCATATCAAGAAATTCAATAGATCCCTAGTGCTACCTGACTGGGAGCACACAACAGGATGTCACCACATACTGAATAGCCATACTATCAGGAGATGAAAAAAGAAAAAAGTACTTAGCCAGGGCCTGCTGGAACAAGTGGGGGCTATCCTGGAAACCCTGAGACAGGACCATCCAGTCAACTGTGAGAATTGAATGTTGGAATCCTCAAAGGCAAAAAAGTAATTGAGAATCTGAATGTTGGGAAATACAAAAGAAGGCATCTTTTAAATCCAAAACAGTGAACCATTCAGAGTCCTCAGGTATTTCTGATAAGGGTTGGGAACCACCAGATGCATTGGGACAACTGCCTCATTTACAAGCCTGAGGTCCTGTACTGATTATCAGCTTGAGTCTTTTGCTAGCCTCGGGTCTCAGAGGGTATTGTTTCTGGTTGGGGAAGGCAGAAGTGGCCTTTAGATGAACTCGCACAGGAGCTGCACCCAGTGCTGGGCCCAGTTTGTCCTACAGTTGTCCATATTCTAGGATCAATTTCAGTCTCCACAAGTGGGAGGATTAGGGGTTGACCAGGCCCTACCAAAATAAGGTCTTCAAATGAGCCAATATATCTTGACCCAGGATATGCGTGTGTGTGTGTGTGTGTGTGTGTGTGTGTGTGTGTGTGTGTGGACTCTCTGGCATTACAAGGAAGGAGTGGGAGAACAGAAGGCCATTCCAGCCACACCTCAAAGGTTAATGGGAGGTTAATGGGAGGCCAGAAACACCCCAAATACTTACTTTTTGAGTGGATGGGGGGGGACCAGGGATTGAAATGAGGACTGAGTATGTTGCTCTGTATCAAGAAGTTAGCCCCCTCAACATTAAGGCTCACATGAGGCCCCTCTTTGGAGATGACAGTCTGATCGAGAGGGGCGCCTGAGGACATCAGGCCTTATCAGTCCTGTTGGACCACAAAAAGTATTTCATCCCAGGAAACCTTCATCCCCTAGAAGAGTCTGATCTCCAGTGGTCCTCCTTGACAGGACATGGCAGTGGGGAGTCACTTCTTGGGACACATTCATTTAAATTGTCCTTGCTTTTATGCAAAATAAGCACTCAGAATTG